CCTTGGAGATCTCGTCCAGCCTCGAACGTTCAGCTGTTGTTCCAGAACGTCTGCGGCGAGACCGTCGTGGAGTACGCTTCGATGCGCGCAGCAACTCTGAACTGGAATTTAATATATACGAGGCGAGCTACATGTTGGATAGAAAGATGGCCCGGAGCGCTATATCGCGTACTTCGGAGAGCAATTTGAGGTACTGTACCATCTCGCACGCACAACCCATCTTTTCCTCATCGTCGTCCTCGTCTTCCTCCTCCTCCTCCTCGTCTTCCCTCTCCTCTGACAATGAAGACTGCGTTTGAAGTCGCCCTGATGTACGTCCCTCAATAGCACCCGTAAAAACGTGCACCGCAGGCATTTTAAACGTGTTCAGGTATGCCTTTTATGGCACTTTCTCACGATACTCTCATCGTGAAACATGCTCTTCTTCAGCTTTAAACAGGCAATTTTACGGTAAAATGGACTACTCCGTATTCCATAATTTGTAAGTCTTTGTTAAAGGGCTGTGACCGACCTTTCAACCTTTTATGAGATTTGAGATTCAAATGTATTCATAGGTATGTTGTTTCACCAGTGGGATTTTTTCAGAAAGTAATTGTAAAAGTCCTTCAAAAATCGTCAACATTTATATACGAGCATTGCCTATAAATACAAGGGAAAAACTTTTGAAACAAATCTGATTTCTTATGTATGCTACGGCTGTTCATCGAACGACTTATTATGGAACTCCCATGTTTTTACTACACGCTTACAGCGCAAGTAAGTAAGTACTGCTGAGAACCTACTCATTGAAACTATTTTTTAAGGTTAGGGAGGTTAACCCTAACAGCTGCGATCGTCTAGGCCTGGTTCCTAAGAAAAAGAGAGAAGTTTTGGGAAGGCCAGATTGATAGGAACAAGGTATTCTGTATAGAAGGGTTGGAGAGTAGTGAGGAAGAAATTGTCACTTGGTCTGGCATGGCGTTCGACCGTGTGAGAGTGCGGGGTCGTCACAGCGGTCAACGACTCTCAATGCGTCCGCTCTCTGTCGGGAAGGATTCCGGAGTGTCCGGCAGCGCGGGAATTCCCACAAGGGCCCAGAATGGGCTATGTGTGAGTCAGCCTAAGGTCGATGATTGGCCCGACCAGTCTGGAATGCGTGTGTGCACCCCAGTCGCGCGAGGGCAAAGGTTACACGTCACACGCGGACATGGGCCACTGCGGTGCATCGAGCGCGACTGGACGACCAATACTGCCACTAGGAGACTCCGTCTGTGGCGTCTCGCGTTAGGAGAAAGGTGGCTGCAGAAACACTACAGGTTCATGGGGGCAGCAACGGCCGGTATAAAACTCAAAAGGCCCTTTTATTTTTGAAATACGATCCCCGTGCCTTTCGCTTCTTCGCATTCACTAATTTCTCAGAACTCTTAAATGAAAAAGCTACTCCAGGTCTCCGTGTGTTTGTGAGACTACCTATAATAGTAGCCGAGTTTCGAGAGTAAGCCGCAGGACACCATGGGAAGATTATGTTCCGTGACGCGATCGGTGAGCGCCCATCGAGCATACATTTTTTTCGGGGTCTAGTTCGCTCGTCGGGAAAACTAGGAAATTGTCTCGAGTAAATTTGCGACGTTGTTTCCCCAAGTCGTAGTCGTCAGGCGTTGGGTAAATTTGCAGAAATATCGACATTTTAAATTTGTTGAAAAGTCGATACTTGTTCGACGTTTGCGTCAGTAAAGAACCACCGCATATGACTTCGGTATTGATTGGTACTCGTTTCTTCTACTTTTCCCTGAAAATTATGCCCATGGCAGCAAATCCAGTGTGCCGATTTAGGCACGACTCATCGGCGGGCATGGCTTCGAAGGACCCTCGGTCTTTTTGGAAGGGCAGGCGCCGATGATGCTATTTTTCTTCACAACCGAAGGCGTACCCGCTAGCGGTCAATTAAGTTAAATGATCTCGTCTCTCAGCTGCTAGTTGATGTTCGCGGGTGTCTGTGCGGGTCTTAGTTTCCCGTATGCCCACAGTATACAGCATCACAGGCATTGCATGGGATATTTTACACGACTCTATTTTTATTCCGGTAGGCAATACTAAACCTAGTATGCACAAGCTGAGTGCGTACTGTATTTGTCGATTTTTACGCTACATGTAGCTGATGTTTTCTCGGGTTTCATCTAGCGATTTTAGACACCTTCTTAATCTACTGAAGGATTTTTCAAGTATTAGCTTTAGGCGCCTGGTTTAAACTACCTAATTCCCCTTCATTTTGACTCTGTTTAATTCATGCATCGAAGTTAATAATCTCATGGTTAACAATTTTGAGATAATAGTTCTTATAGGTAATTTAGCTCGATTCGGAAACTTTCTTGGCCCAGACCATGCGTTTTTCTCCCTAACGCAGGCTGTTGATAGAACTTCGATTGTAAGAAGTGTTTTCTCGTTCTCTTAGTGTAGAATGAGTTCCACAGAAGTTTATTTGTGGCAAAGGGATGCGTGAACTTTTTGGCGGTCGTTCGTTGTATGAGAACAGTTAGAGATAGGAGATTATTTCATCAACTATCTCGAGTGTGCTGGCTTTGTTGGGTAGATGCTTTTGTGGAGGATATCCACGTAATCCTTTCTAACAACACCAAATGCTTTGTCGATATATCTCAGCCAAAAGTTAGACTTAAAGAAGGGAAGAGCCGTCAATTTCTGTTTCGACATTGTCATCTCAAAAAGTAAGTCAGCTATAGGTGACTCCCTCGGAGCCCCTTTTATTTGCCGGTGCCAGGCACACCTCCACTTGACCTTCGGCGTCTGCCCTTCCACAAAGTAGCACGAGTACCTCAAAGCCATATACTCAAATAGGTCATGTAGCAGTCGGCTTATTGAGTTGGATGCCGTGTTCGAAAGCTCGAAGACAAGTGGGGCAGACGAAAATAATCCGATATTGAGCGGCACACACGACAACCGCTCAGTGGCGCAATGGCAGGAACTCCGCTGCTGCTGTTTGTACACTTTCTCAACATCTGACAAAGACTACTTGGGGAAAGGGCGTCGAAAATTTGCAAAAAAACTATTTTTGTTTTCTCTGCAAACTATGAGACTTCAGATTATTCAAAAGATAATTTGGCGAGCATACGTTTGCTTCAAACAAAATCTTCTTGGGCCTTTAAATTTATATTGTGATGTAAATGACTAAAGTATTCTGGTTTGTAGTAAAATATTGCGTTTGTCAAAGTGGGGAAGAAATAAACTCGGTGTCAGTAAATTGATCAGCATCAGAGCATACTGACCGCTGGGAAACGCATTTACAGTACGGCAGGTATTTGATGCGAAATTCCGAAATTTGTGAAAGATTGGCAATCGCTCACAAACCGGTATTAAGTAGAGTTGTAATACTGATAATCCTGCAGCCTAATCTCAAGTCATTTCAGTCACGATGGACTGCCAGCTTTTCAAGAGCTTCTTTCTGACAACTTAAAATTATTATCTTCTGTAAAAAAGGACTACTTAAGCAGCATACATTTAACTCAATCATTTCGACTGCCCTTATAAATTAAAATATATTTTATAGAAAACATTCACAAAATTATTCTTTCTTGCATTCGGTTGGTATAAAATTACGCCTTCATCAAATTTTATACTTAAAGGAAGGGTATATTTCGATTTTTAAAAAAGTTACTAAATTACCGAATAGTTTTGAAACCTGCCGCCCGTTACAACTGAATTCAAGCTTTCTAAACTGCGTGCTGCGTACATCTTATGTAGTACGTTTTTTCCTACGATGTGTAGAAGAGGTCACAGAGTTGTCGTAACATTTTGCAATAGATGTGGATCGCGCTGTATACGTTGTAGACAACATTAATGAATTGACGGATACGATGTGTTATGAATGAACACTTCACAGTCGTAAAAAATCGCATGATTATTAATTTTTTAAACTGTAACATACTCTTCCTTTAAGTATAAAATTTGAAGTAGGCGTAATTTTCTGCCAGACGAGTACAAGATAGAATAATTTTGTGAGTTTTTTCTATAAAATATATTTGAATTTATAGAGGCAGTCAAAATCAATACCACTTAAGTAGCCATTTTTTACAGAATAAACATCGTTTAAACGGCTAGAAAGCAACTCGTTTAAAAGCCGGCATCCTATCGGGACTGAATTAATGTGAAATTAAGCTGCATGATAATAAACATCACAACCCTACTTGATGCTATTTTACGCGTAAGTATCAATCTTCTGTAAATTTCAGAATTTTGCATGAAGTACTGGCCGTTCTGTAGTTTCGGGCGGCTGAATTGAAGGCTTTCTGTCATGGCAACAGCGGCGCCCTTCGGACGTTCTTTGAGCGCAACTGACTGGTGTATGTAATGTAACTGTAGCCTCTTCTGCCGTAACAAACAGACGTCATCCAAGGAATTTTGAGTAGCTTGAGGTGACCTTTGAAATCGCTCGGAAAGCCTATGGAGAAACTAAGGTTAATAGAGAAAACCCTCGTCACTATGATCATCAAACCCGGTTCCTTAAGAGAAGAGACGACAATGGAAGACCAGAGTAGTAGGAACAGTTCATTCTATAGACAAGTAGTGGAGGAGAGGTAGGAGGAAGTCGACTGTCGGACGAGCGTAGGTCTGCACCCGAGCGGGGCAGTGCCCAAAGTCCTAGTCGGGCGGCAGTCAGCCTAGCGGCTACCGAGAGCCGTCTTCTTCTTAGTTAGCCTTGAAGGTGTAGAGGCTTTTTCACTACAATTATACAAAACGTCTTAGCAAAAACGCAACTGAAAACTTTCTAGTGTAGGCCAACCCCTAGTGAGTAATTTACCAGGCTATCCTAGCGGAAAAAGCGTAAAAAAGGCATATGAGGATAACAATGAAGGTTAGGAAATGATACAACTCACATAGATCCTTCACGATCCTTGCCAGCAATAGCCAAGAAATCGACTTGCCAAAG